TGCAACTCAAAGGTGATGCAGGAGATCTCGCGGTGACACAGAGAACAGCCCCTCTGAGGGCCTTTGGCTGGCACCGTGGTAAACTGCACAGAAACCTCCCTCCCTCATGCCAAGTCTGCAAAGACCCAGATTCTGTATTTTCTCAAGTGCAGAATGATTCTGCAGATTTCTAAAGTGAACTTTTTGCCGTAGAGATAACCAAGCACTTATGGAGTGGCTCAAACTAGAAGCCAATGAGAAGTCCACAGTGGGAATAGTGTTTGATTTTTTTTTTTTTATGGCGAGCAAATACACACCCATACAGAACTAAGTTTAGATATGTCTTTCTAAGCTAATTAGTATTGTATATAAAATACAGACAGACAGTGCAGGACACAATGCAAGGGATAATCCCGGGCTCCCGTTCGCCTCTTGCACTAATGACCGAGTGCCCTTGGGCACGTCCTTTCTGGACTCCCGAGACGATGACTGCAAAGGGCCTCTGAGCGCCAACTCTGTAGAGATCTGAGCACGTCTGTGCTTGCTCTTATAAAGTAGGCCTGTTTCCCGCTATTCTGTAATGTATCTGAATCCCTTTGTGCTATGAATATCACTCTACCTCTGGCCTAATAATTAAATCTATATGAGACTAATTAACCAGAGACAATAATCAGATTTATAAGCATATGTTCCCGTGGGAACCCCACGTACAGGAAGGGTTCAGACACAGAAAGGGAAACTGAGGCATCTGACATTCTGAGCTAAGGATGAGGAAAGGCGCCTTAGAGCTTGAGGGGAGGAAGGTCATTTGAAGAAGAGTAAGATGCACAGATGTTCAATAATTAGAAGTTTGCTCTGCCCTATAGCGAGGTGATAAAAAGTTATTTCTGGTGACAACTCTTATTACGGGCAAGGCCCCTAATTTAAATTCTTCTAGGTAGTTAAGGGGGGTGGGGCAGAAATTTTTCTTGAGCCTGAGGGGGTCTCGGTTGCCTTTAGCTCAAAATAATCCACCTAGCACAGAGGAACATCTTGGGGTGACTCGTTCTGGTCTCCTATACTCTCAATTAAAACGTAACACGTTGTTCTAGCCAGTTTGGCTCAGTGGATAGAGCTTGTCGGCCTGTGGACTGAAAGGTCCCAGATTTGATACTGGTCAGGGCACCTGCCCGGGTTTCGGG